CTCCAATAACGGCTGGTGTGGCCATGGGCCAACACGAGGTGTGCTGGCACCTAGCAGCACGGCGGCAATGAACAACGGCTGAAATTATGTAAAAGCCACCTCTCAGTGAAGATGGAGCATTTCTGACTAAATGATGGAAAATGGCTGTCTCTTTTCAAAGTACTTCTGAAGCTAGAGAAAAGAGCATGAAAAAAATGGGGAATCCAAAATGTTCACTCTACCCTGGGAGAAAATGAGGAAAAATAACCTCAACTGCTTTATTTAAAGAAACAGAACAGCTACATGACTACGCTGAAGCACAGAGGAGGGTAGCAAAGGATGTGGAACTGTCTTGAGCTCCGGAAAAGGTGGACTGAATTGCCAAAGAAATTTATGACCAGGACTATTAGCTTCCTGTCTTTGATGTCTATTCTTGGCTTTCCAGGAGCATTATGGCATTCATGAGGTGAAAATTGCACTGGAGCCAAGGTCAGCTAAGGCTGATGCAGCCTATTCTACTGCAAAGCTGAGAAATTCACTCTGAACTGCTTCAAGATGCTGAGTTTAAAGCCTGAAGACACTTCACTGAGGGCCTGAGTTTACTTCCACTGAATCACTGAGAGGTTTTTTCATCAGCTTAATGACAGTGTGATCACACCTCCAAGCCAAAAAATGAATTGGAGATCAACCTCCCAGTAAAACATGCTGTCAGGGAGCACACTCTTATTTTGTCCAGCACAAACGTTTTCAAAGCATTAGCTACACCTTAATAATTCTCCATTAAAAAACAACAAAATATTTTCAGTAATGCAATAAAGCATTTCTTAAAAACAAACTGAAAATAGATCAATAAAATTTATTTTCAGAAATGAATGAATATAACTCTTTAATAAACTGAATTCTGGCCACAATCTTGCAAGGTGCACAGAACTCTCAATCAAAAGTTTTAGCAATAACTGATGTTCTCCGGCCTTAGCTGGGTTTGATCTTCAGTGAAGCACATCACAGAAGGAACTGGTAATTAACTGGTGATAGTGGTAGTCACAGATAACTCAGGACACACAAACTGTCCATAAACAAAACTTCCAGAACTACCAATGGCCCAGGACAAAGCATCTAGGCATCTGACTCTAAAGTTGTGGGTCTCAGCATAATAAATCACAGGTACTATTGAAAGTTTTTCTTCATCTTTGTCAACGTGCAGTGGAAGTCTATGTGTTGAAGATAAGAGGGTAGAAGTCAGGTAATTTGTCCACAGAATCCTCAAGAAGAGGATTATTAAGCTGACCAATATTTGGCAATTTAAAAAAATGCTAAATTAGAAGAACTTGTCAAACTTTCACAAACAAAAAGTATGAAGCCACTAGTTCAATTTCACTTTAACAGGCACAACTGTAAGATTCAGCAACAAACATACGGCATATGGGGCCAACCTTTCTCCGATTCAAGCATGTGGCAAGATTCCCTTTGGTTCAGCCATGGCCAGGATCATACCCTTTGGTCCCAAGTGAGCAAAGCACTTAGAAGCTGAAGTTGAGCATATTTTAAGTGTATTCTGAAGTGCTGAGCTGAGTCAAGGCCCTCCTTGTGCTGGTCTGTAATACAGATGTATGTTTGTAATACGGGCAATTTGTTGAAGCCAAAAATGTAGGTTTTGAAAACTCTTTTGAGAATCAATTATTATTATTTTGATTAGAAATTCCCTTACAGAGTTTGAAGCCTAAACATTGTGGCATTGAGCTAATGCAGATGAACCAGAAAGGAAAAGTGCATTAGCTGGTAAAGAATCTCTCTGCTGAATAATCTAAACTGAAGGCAGTTTTTGATCTATGGTCCATAGAAGACCTGGGAACTATTAGCAAGAGGCCTGTGAAAGGCAGCTAAGAAGAGCAAGTTTATTTATGCTATACAGGAATCTACTTATGTGAAATGTTTTAAATGATCTCCACACTTCCATGGGAAAAACACACAGGTAGGTGTGCACAAATTTAGAAAGATTAAAGCCCATTGATCTAAAATGTTCTAATATGCAAGAAAGGTCCACCTTTCTTGGGAGGTGCTGGGATGTAAAGTTATGGCTAGGCCTCCATCAGCATCCCACCAACAGACATCTCATAAAAACACTTCTTGAGGTCATGATTAAAAAACCTACATAAAACTGGGGATCAGAATTATTCTCTTTTTAATTAAAAAGTGACCTTTCACTATACGTGTTTTTTTTTTTTTTTTAGTATGTTTAGTCATAGTAAGACGACGCAATAAAAAAACTGTCTTAACAATTTATTGTCCCAGCCAGATCTCCTGCCTCGGATCTTCTTGTCTGACCTTACTGTGCATGGCACAGGAAAAATGCACATCTACACTACTGTCTTGCTCCCTGACTAGTGACTGTTTGAGTACTACCTCACACTTCAAGGTTTCAAAACACCATTTTGAAAAAGGTTTACGCTTCAAATGATACCCTCTTTTCTCTACATATTTAAAAACTTTCCTTCCCTTTTTCTGTGGCAAAGTAGTCAAATGGATAAAAGAAAGTAAAAATACTGAAAGGCATATTTGTAAAACAGGAAGTAGATCAAAACTCCCTTGGAAATTATTTTAAAAACCCCAAACCTTAAGCATGTCCAGGGGCTAGACAGCCTCAACTGCTTCAAAAAAATTCCGAAAACTAATCAGTAAGTCTTTTTTTCTCCCCAGCTCCACAGCAGTATGAATGCTGCTCTAGCCTACATTCTTCTCTGGTGCCCATGAGATAAGGAGGCTCCTTCAGAAAACTGTCCATTGACCGCAGTGTTACTTTGGCCAAGGCACCTTTGCAGAAGTCATACAGGCCCAGACTGGGACAAAGGATGATGGAAACCTACCGTGTGAACAACAGCTGTTACAGTGAATCCTAAAGACACCAAATCTACCTGGTCTACATCCACCACCTATAGTGGAGCTGCCCTGATAGCCAGGAAGCCCTGCCCTCTGGCTGCCTGGGACCTTGGACAATATTTCACAAGGGCAGATGACGAACGCCTGCATATGCTAAGAGACAAGTGAAACGTAAGGAAAAAAAGTCCAAGGAAACACTCCATGGGGTATTTCCCCATCAACAAATAAAAGGCAGCAGAAAGAAGACAGAGCCAGCTTTCACTCTTCATTTACTTCCAGCTACACCAAAATGGTTTCTCTGAATTGGCACTCTGGCTTCTCAGGGCCTAGAAGTTTTGTAGATGACAGGCTTCAGTGCCCGTTTTGAGATTAACTTTCAAGTCTGACTATGACTGCTGAGATCAGAAAGTTCTGCTTATGAAATCAGAATAGGATAAACCAAAAGATTTCATGCACTAGATCCATCGTCATAGCTGGGTTTTCCCGCAGACAATATTTTTATGGGTCTTCTTCACCACATTTACAATATGTACTGTTCATTTCCATTTGTTGACTGGAAAGCAAAGAGCTCTCCTTTGTCTAGTATAAAATGACCTGTCAGTAGCTAATTCATCACAGATTCAGTTTTGTTCCTGGTAAAGTCAATGGCAAAAGTCCCAGGGATACTGATGGCAGCAGGATTAAAGTCAGCCCTAGAGTAGTGTTTTACCACCCCGATTCCTGAAGGTAGTTCCTTGCATGTTTAATTGTACACACATGAATAGTTAGTCTCACCGACTAATGTAGGACTATTTAACATGTGAAAAGTTCATTATTTTCAGGATCAGGGCCATCATCACATAGACAATTCAATAACTGCATTTATTGCAATATACTGCATTGTTTAAATAACTATTTCAATGTTGCACATGCCTGGAGAAGAAAGTAGGGGCAAAAAGTCTGTTGCTATCCATAAAGTCACTTCTCCTCCCCTAAATACTAGTTCTAAAATGTATTTACAGCTGTTGACTTCCCCTGCATGTTACTCCTATCATAAAAAATATGTCTTCAAAACATCCTCTCCCTTAATTTTTAATCCTACCAAAGCAAAAATAGATACTTTAATAGAAAAATACAAGATAAAAATATCTAAAAATAAAATGGTAGCATGGAATGTCATTTTTACACAAAAAAGATCCCCTTTTGAATTGCCTCAGCTATACAAACACTTTCATATTTACAATTTTGGATGCAGTCCTGTGCTCACTGAAGTTAATGGGATTTTGCGATTGACTTCACTGGGAACAGGAGCAGGCTCTACATGGACTATATTTGCCTCTCTGAAAAGTCACGGCAGTGGAGAGAAAAGAGCATGATAAAACACGTAGAAGACTGAGGAATTAGCCAGTCCTCTCTGGCAGCCTGATTATCTTCTCTCTCAGTATTTCACATCAATGAAACTCCTCATCCTACACTGGAGTTTTTCCTAACGCCCAGCACCTAAGGGGGAGAATCAGCGCTTTTGATTGTGATACTACACAAACAAGGAAAGAATCGTTCTTGTGTGTTTCCACCTGCCTGACTTTCTCAGTGGAGTTAATTATACCCCAGTGGAGTTAATTACACCCAAGTGCCAGTTCCCTCCCAGAACTAAACTCCATATGCCCAATCTTGTATCCCCTGTAATCAATGGCAAAGATTCAGTGATGCAGGATCATACCCCAAATTAATCCCTTTTTTCCTTTTGACAGCAACCAGCACCTGTGCCTGTGAAACCGTGTTTGATACCCATGGGTGAGATGCAATTAAGGAAGGAGGTGGTAGAAGCTAAAAAAAAAAAAGGGAACAGAATGAGGCATTCCCCATCAACTAAACCCAGATCTGCCGCTCTTACTGTACACCTTAAGAAATATTGTCTTTACATATCAAGTACATCCTATAACATCAAACTGCATCATTTTTTTTTTCATGAGATGAAAGGCCATGCGGCATAATGTGATTAGTAAATCATTCCTGAGCTTCTGAAAGAAATTAAGACAAAATTACTGCTTAAAAGAGCGAGTTCTTCAAGAACCTCTTCTTTTTACACTGATGTCTTTGGTTGTGTCCTTTTCCCTAATTCTTTTTTTCCCTAGGGAGAATGGCATTCTTTTTCTTCTTCTTCTTTATGCGGCAGAAAAATGAGATCTAATGGAGTCTTCACGTAACTGCCGATGTTTCCCCATGTTACAGTCCTCCTGTCGAGTTCGTCTCTCAATAGTTATTCTGTATTTCTTTCTGCATGAAAGGAGAGGAACAGAGTGAGAAATCCTTCTGCAGCTACAGGATAACAGGACTTCCCTTATAAAGAATGCCTGCAGGGGACAGCTGGGTGCCAGTTGAAAAATGAAATGTGGCAGAATGTGAAACCCTGGTCAAAGATTAAAGTAGTTTGCCTCGAAACATTTTACCCAGGCTCAAGAATGCCTGTTAATTTCTACACGGCAGTCTCAAAGCACCAAGACACAGATGTTTGCTTCTTTGAAAATTTCTGATCTAAATGATTAGGAAGTTTTTGTGAAGTGTCATGAGAACTGTGTCACATCACTGCTTTATATTGATCAAAGCCGAATTTCTTTCCAGTATACGGGGTGAGGAGGCACTTTCTGCAGAGTTCAAACAACAGATCTGACTCTTCAGTTGCATTTCTCACTGGAACTATGTATTAACTAACTAATCCTCCCATCTCCCTCTGAGAAAGCTACTATGTTTGTAATGTCGAGGAGGTAGTATGATGAATTAAGAAGAGGAATGTAGAGGATAGATAAGAAACAAATACAATTGCTCATGCATCAGACACAGTTTTTCCTGTGCTTCTTCCTTTAGGGCCTTTTGAAGAATTCTGTTATGTTACTTTACACATCAAACAAGCCCTCTGACTGACTCTCAGTTTCCCCTTTAGTTCCCAAATCTCCCCCCAAAATCGTAACAAGACTCACATTTCTATTTTATGCATTTATGCTTCTACTCAGTTTCAGGACCAACTTTTCAGAAGGGCATTTGTCCAGCCCCATGTGCATACCATACTGCTTGTGCAGATGCATGACAAAATGCTTGTATGCCAAGGAAAGCTCTGCTCCACCTGCATGTGTAGCAGGAGTCAGAGCTAGATATGTAGCAGTGGAAGAATGATTTTCAAAACACTAAGGTTTTAATTTGGGTAACATGGCTTGATAGCAAGTGGGAACCTACAAGTTCTGAAAAGATTCCCTAGACATATGTGTCTGTATCAGCAGGCTGCTATGTAACTTGAAAAACCTATGTTCTTTACTTCGTTTTATGTATTTTCAAGTCAGATCCTTCCATAGGTCAGAGCGTGCACAGTAGTAGCTCATGCACAAGGGTAGGTGCACATTTTAGAAATGCAACCTTTAAGTTTAAAGCCTTTCAAAGCTACGTATCAGAACTACTACCCAGATCTTTTAACGGTTTGCATGCACACTCAAAACTGTGTTTGCATGCTTATTTGTGGTAATTACAGATCCGAATGTGATGTAATCAGAAGGTACATACACAGTTTGAAAGGTACAGAAGCTGCAGGTACAAATTACTTCCAGACACACAATTGCTAGACCTACATTTTCTGAAAATCTGACCCATACATCCTGTTACGTTATGTTTTTATATGTTTATTCTAATGGTGGAATTAGAGGGTTGTCCTTATTCCTGCTTTGAGTGAATGCATTCAGATCTCCAGGGTGAAATTCACCCATGTCTTTAGATGTCTCCAACGTGCAGATCCATCTGACAGAGTACCCGCAGCTTCCTTCAGTCAATGGAGGGAAACAGGCGTTTCTAAGAGGCGTTCTTCTGATCTGGTTTAGCTTTTACGTGAGGATGACATGAACTGCACCGAAAAAAGTGCTCATTTCTCCCCTCTGACCATAAATACAAAGACTGGGTGTTTAGCTCAGCCGTGTACATCTACTTTTACAGACACTCACCTTTGCTTACATGGATTTCCAATCCAAATCTTTGTGTCAGATGACTAGGAGTTTAAGTCCTGTTCCTACAATCATGCTTTGCATAGTTTTATACCAGCTCGGGATACGTCTTTTGCCTCATTTCTTGTCCTCACATACCAATTCCCTCCCAATATCAGCAATGCTAAAAAAACACACTTAAAAATTATCATCTCAGATTGAGAATGTATGAAAAATGCAAGAACCTCTGATGCCATAGAATAAAGTCAGACTTGTATTTTCTTTTTCTTTTAAAGACAGTCTATAATCACTCCCAGCTAACCTATATTGTCTGAAACCCAAACAACATATTATATAAGCACCAAACACATGCAAGAATAAAATCACCCTGCAGAATTTCAGTTTTAAGCACCTGATGAATAATTCTGGTTCTGGGATCTTTTGAAACCCTGGAAGTGTGCCAGTGAATTGAAGCAGTTTTTGCTTGTTTCATTTTGTTAACATTTTTTTATAAACAGATATTTTTATTGGCTAGAATGATTTGATTCTTATATGCAGAGGTTAATTCTATTCTCCTATCTGCCTTTTCTCTTCCATAGCATAAGAGGATAAATTATAGTATATATAAGATGCTGAACATGCATAACTAATTTATTCTGCCAATGTAGGATCAACTCACAAGACTTCAGATTTGCTGACTAGCAGTGTAAGAATTATTTTACTTAAACAGGAATAAAACACTGATCACCCTGCACTGACCTAGCTTATTAAGTTAAATGCACAGCCTTGAAATCCAAATGCTCTCTTATACCAAAACAGAAATCTCTTTCTAGCTTCCAGTACAATTCCACTCACTACTCAAAAACTAAGCATGGTACCAGGCAAGTGATATAAATCTCTTGCACAATCACAGCCTGCACAATTGTTCTGGCAAGGAGTACCAAACAAAGAAGGCTTTCAAGGCCAGGGTACTTTACTAAAGCAACTGTGAATGACTGGAACTCACTGGAATTACTTCCATGAGTAAAGTTACTCAGAGATGTAAGTGGTTACAGGATGAGGCCCTGAGTCAATAAAATGATTTGGATATACAAAAGGACAATCAAAGTGTGTTCGCTGTCTTTGAAGGGAATGTTACCACAGATGATTACTGCGCTTCCCTGCTTCTCACCAAGGATGTGCAGCCACGAGCTGAGAGGTTTGGATGATGTAAGGGTTTACAGAACTTTCAATGAATTGGACTAACCTGAAAAAGTAAAAAGCCATTAGCAATCCTGTTCCGAGCAAGGCGCCCACAACTATTCCTGTAACCGCTGATTCTCCTAGACCACCTGCTTGAAAAGGAGAAAAATAAACAATCAGGGTTCATATTGAGAACTATTTGCATTCATATATTGGAAAATACACACAACCAGGAAATGAGTGACCAACATCAGATAATAACTAAAGCCTTTCAGAGCTCAGGATTCCATGAGAACCTCTTCCTTAGTCCCAGTTTCTGCATGTTTATTTTTTGTCCTTGCTTTCCTTGGGGTTAAACAAGCCCCCAAGATCAGTGTCAGATGAAGACACAGTTCTAGAGATGTGATACACAGGAATGTTGTTAGGAAACTGGTCTGGACAGCTTGGTCTGAATCATAACACAGACTGGGATTACAATGACACACGTAACAGGAATCAGCACTGAATATGCCCTGAGCCATTATAACAGAAACAAACTCATTTCACCTGGTTTAGCATCACAACCTTCTATCACCCAGGTTTATTAAAATGACCGCATGATTACCCAACAGCTCCTCAATTATTTTTTTTTTTCCGAACCTATGCTGTTTCAAGTTAAAGCCATATGAGCTTCACCTTGCTCCAAATCTCAACAGAGGCAATGAGAGAAGGGGAGCCCAAGTAGGGACTGTCACTCTGCAAAGTGCAAGGCAGCTGAAGAACAAATGGCATTTTCATGTGGGTGCAGCCTGCTCCCTTTTCCATGCCTACCCGAGTTTGTGGAAAGGAACAGAGAAATATTAAGGAAATTAAACTGCTCTCTCCTCTTCATTTATCCTTGACCCTCTGAGGGGATTTTATCTGTACATCAGGATGTGTGGAAGGAAGAAGGTGCATAGCTACACCACGCTGATCATAGAAGGTATGGCCTGGAAACAGTCTCTATAGCATGTGTGTACACATAGGTTTTTCAGAGATCAGGCTGCAGATACCTTTTCCCTGCAGGACTAGCAATTTGTTTCCTGTGAAAAGCTAAGACCACCCTTTGCCACTGAGGCACCCGTCACTTCCTACCCTTTTCTCCTTGCAATGTCCTGCTCACTACAACATGGTCTGCAAAGTCAGTACGCTGGAAAACAAGGACGCCTTCTCTATGCAGGGTAGTCTCAGCCTTCTGCATTCACAGGTGTTGCCCCATTCAACTGACTTCACTTCTTCTCAGCCTGCTGGCCTTCTCACAGCACTGAAAATCATTCTGCACTGAGAATACTGCTCCCATCAGCACTGGCCTCCCCACCTAATAATTATCAATATGATTATTCTCTGTTTGGGGTTTCAGTTATATCTTTCTTTCTGGCTAAAAGAGATATTACCTTTTAGCCCCTGGAAAGCCCTAAAGCCTCCAGGTCCCTGGGCTGTGCATCATGATTACTGTCATGTTTAAGGTCAGGGAAGTGATTCAGACCATGTACTACCCAGGGCTGCCAGACCTTAACTTCCCAAACAGTCAGCAGGGAGACATAGTCACGATGTCTCAGCTGGACAACTGTGCTAGGCAATTTAATATGGCCCATTATGTTGCATCAGCACATGGATTCCTCTCTCTGGTAGCCTGGACGGAAGGATTAAGTTACTAAACTTACATGATTTACAAGGTGTATTGTTTGTGTGTTCTGAAACTCGGTTTTCATCTAGTCGCAGCCTGCCATGATTCCAAGGATATTTCACATTTGATCGAATTTCAAAACGTCCCTGCTTTCCGTAGTAGTCCCCGATCACCTGTGCAAAAAAAAAAGGAATGAAAAGATTTTCCTATCCACTTAGGGATGTAAAACAAACAGGAGAGCAGCATCGCTCACTTGGACTCCTGTGGTAGGATGTTGAATCACAGAGAACAGGGCTGAAGGGGGCTGTGGGGGGTTATGTAGTGGGAGCCCTGCCCCAGGGCAGGATCAGATGAACAAAAGCATTCCTGGCAGATGTTTATCTAACTGTTCTTAAAAGCCTCCGAAGATGGAGACTTGACAATTCCTGTAGGCAATTATTCTGGAACTTAGCTATCGTTACTGTCAGTGGTTTTCCCTAACATGTAACCTGTATCTCCCTTGTTGCAATTATCCATCACTACTTATCCAACTGCCAGTGGACGCAGACTCTTCCTTTCTGAAACATACCTTGACATCTTCACAGGCTGTTATCTGGTCTGCCCTCAGGCTTCTCTTCTATATAAACCCAGTTCACACAAGTTTTTTTAACCCTCTGAATATTCCTCCTGCTCTCCCTGGGCTTTCTTCAATTACTCCATAGTGGGTTGAGTGTTCAGGATTGTCACCCAGCCAAATGAAAGTATCATTTCAAGTACCTTGTGTGCTGAGGCTCCTGACAACACACTCCAGGCTGGACTTTTTTGTTTTGCAAAGATCTGGAGGTACTTGATCATTTTCAGCTAAAATCTTCAAATCTTCTACAACAGAGCCTGTCATTCTCCACCTTGTATTTCTGCAGTTGTTGGTATTTAGACAGAAAGGGCCTTTCATGCTTATTATTCTGGTAGTATGAACTATTATTTCAGACCAATTCATCAAGATACTTTAGAATTTCAGCCCTGTCCTCAACAGTAAATCCAGGATTTATTCAAGATAACATATATTGGATCTACTGCAAAGTTGCAGGACTAAATTGTGCTAACAGTAGTAGGTCACTCATCTGAAAGTAGTTCCAAAAAAATCTATGTACAGTAATAAAGGCCAAATATCATGACCCTGAAGTAGTCAGAAGAGATGGCAGAAACATATCAAAAGATATATTTGTCCTACCTTGGATAAGAAACATCTATTAATACATTGGGTTTAGAATTCAAGACATTGGTAGCCTGTTCAAACCTTTCACCTAAACTTCTTTTTGAAGGGAGTTAAGAGACAGGTAACAATTGCCCTGGTTAGGTATACCAAGGTAGATTTCACACAAAATACAGGAGCTAATTTCTCTCCCAGTTTTGCCACTGGGAGATAAATCCTTAGAAGAAATACTTTTTTAAACATTCGTTCAAAAATAAAGACAAATTCAGTAAACTGGAAAAAGTAGAGGGAAAAAACCTCAGAGACCATTTGCAGGCAGCAGACTATTCATTAAGAGATTGTTTAATTTATCAAACGGGAGTGTGAGAGTCCTCTACCAGCAGGGCTTACTAAATATGAAAGCATGCAGAAAGGCTTAAGATGAACAAATAGCTATGAGCAGCAACCAAACGGATTCTGATCAGAAGTAGGACATAGATTTTTAAAGAGCAAGAGTGGTTAAAAAATGGAACAAACATCAAGGGAGCAAGCGAGGCAGTTCCTGTTCTTCAGCGTCTCCAAATGAAAAATGAATACCTGTAACTGCGTGAGCTTTAGTCACATGCAAGGGAAAGAAACCTGCCTGCCTGTAATACAGCCGGGGTCAGATTAGGTATTCTGATGTTTTCTTCTAGCTTTAAACACTGTGAATGGACCTGGGAAAACAGCTCTGCCCTTTACGCCCATTCATCCAGCTCAGTTCAGCTGAGAAACATTCTTGTAAGGACATAGAAGAAACCAACAAAATGAATAAAACAAGGCATCAAAGAAACAATGTTTTTAGAGTGAGGCATGAGGGTAGAAATGAACGTAGCAGACACAAGTAATAAGTAATCCCATGTAAAATATGTTAATAGCATGTATATTTGTATGTATCATAAACAAAGCAGAGGGAAATTAAAATGAGCAACATGTTAAAAGGAGAAACATAACGTCAAAGAAATAAATGACAGTTTAAATTGCAAGTGAACGAGCAATGGAAGGAAGGCTGGGACAGGGGGATTGAATTGATAAATGAGATAAAAAGCTAATGGACTGAACAAACAGAAGAGATACAAGTTGTTCACCAAAGTTATCCCAACCAATTTGTACTCCTAGCTTCAATTAATGATGATTACTCCTACCCGTGGGAGCGTCTGCAGTTTACTTCTGGAGCTTTTCAGTCAGTTTTGCACAACAAAACACACTAGACATCCTCATTCATTTAGAAAGGCTTCTTGAGTCTGTCTCTGCCACACCACTGACAAGAACAGTAACATCACCAGATTGAAATCCACACGTAGAAATGTCCAGTTCAGATTACTGCTCCTTTACGTTTGAGCTTGATGAAATAGGGGAGGCCAGCAAAGCTTAGGTTGATGCTGACTTTGCAACTAACAGAAGCTGTGTGCTGCAGCTGGAGTTTGGGCAATGTATGTATTAATAAACTCAACCCTGTCGTGCTATTCACTATGTGCAGCCGATGCTATTTCTCATAGACAGTTTTTCACAGTCTGGCTGCTTCCACTCCTGCTGTGTCCAATGGAATAACCCACATGGTGTATATGGAGCCCTCTGATTAAAACATCTCTTAATCATTGAAAACCAGGTGCTTAGATTAAAATACCTGTACTCACTGTGTTTATACATCAGGGTAACTCATGCATCCTTGTTACTATAAGATTAATCTTTCTTCTTACCAGTCAATAAAAGGCCTTACTAATTTTAAACAATAATTTCTCATAATCAAAATTTATCAGTGCTTAGGTAGCATGTGAGATTTCATCTTTTGAAGACTCTAGCATTGTGTGAAGACAGACATACACTGTTAAAGAAAAGAAGTTAAGAAAGTTAGAAAAATTTTTAGAATAACTACTTCAAGATAATTTTTTTACAGAAAGGATTTGGGCCCCGGATTGACAGGATTAAACAATACCCTTTTAATGTGTATATTAAATAAACAGGTGCCCACCAAGTAAACAGCTGATATGATGTTACATTACACTGGCTAACTAATCAGTGGCCAACTGCAATGGTGTTGTCCTTACCTCCTGTGTGCCTGCCTCTGGGTCTGTCATTCCAATCACAGAGAAATCCCCATATCTGTCTCCGTTGGCATCAATGGACACCTGCCCTGCAATGCCTAAAGAATGGCATGTGAAGAATTAGAAAATTAATTAGTTAAAATACTGAGCCTTTCCAAGGAAAACAAGAAAACAGTGGACAGGTTTTTACAGACCGATATGACAGGAAATCTCATCAGTCTCCCAGCATTTTTGTTGGCATTCCAAAAGAAATTGTAATTTCATCTCGGTGTCTGCATTCCTGAATTCTTAACATTTCTCCTTTTTAAATATCAAATGTGTGAGACTGTTTGGGGAATACGTGAGAAAAATGTAATCCAGAAAGCCAGCATGCAAGAATAAAACACAAATATATTTAATGTGAATTATTTACAGACAGTGTAACCTGAAATACCTAAAAATGCCTCAACAAGGAAAGTCCAGCTCATGTGCTGCAGAGGACGCAGGGGCACAGCCCTACGCGCTGCAGACTGACGGGGTTGGTGCACCCATACAGCCAGTCCAGTGTTGTTTCCATTTGATGGGATACTGGAGGGGGTGCAGACAAGAGGCACCATGCGCATTATATATGTATTAAGTCCTGTAAATGTACATAGGATTAACTGCATAACATGGTGCTGTTTGTTTTGTATTTTTAGACCCCCAGTTCACTTCCTTCCTTTACAAGTTCTAGGAGACTTTAGGGAAATGGGGAATCATGGACTCATAGGATAACTCAAGTTTGAAGGGACTTCAGGAGGTCTCTAGTCCAACCCCCGGCTCAGAGCAGGGTCATCCAGGAGGTCAGAATAGGAGGATGCTCAGGGCTTTATCTGGTCTTGAAAACCTCCAAGGATGGAAAGTCGTATCAGGGTGTCTCTAACAACCCAAGCAATCAAAAATCCTTTGATCACCTCAGTCTTATGCTTTCCTAAGCATATGATGTTGCCTGTGCAGTTGTGGCTGGCAGACTGTGAACACTGCAGGAAACAGCATCCACATCCCGTTGGAGTTCTGATGGCTCACCTATTCAGAGCAGGCTGCAAAAAGAGGCACCCAGGCAATTAGATAACTAGATGTCAGCAGTTAAATTAATGTCATTAATAGAACTGGAGTTCTCATCATCGAGGCCTGCAAAAGTTTAAGTGAATTATAAAGCTGCAGTCCTGCAGTAGAACCTGGTGGGTGTATACATGGACCATAATCTGCGATGCTGCATCCACTTCAGAGAGGGTCTTACAGGCAGAACAAAGGGACGTGATTTTCCTAAAAGGACTGGCTTGCAAGACATCAAGTTAAAGGCCTCTTTCAATATCAATTTTATCCTTGTAAATTATGTCCAGCAAAGTACTGCCACAGGGAGGAGATGGCATATGACTTACATGGCATTTTGACATTTTCACCTGCACCCTTACAGCTCAGCTTGATAGCTACATTTTCAAATAGATATGACAGGTCAGCCAGCAACAACAAACTGGTTTTCACAAGTGGGGAAGGAGAACATTTTTTCCTCCTGGCTGGTTTTACAAGAAAGGTGTGAGAATCAACCATGTAACCTGCATGGAGCACATGGTAAAGGACTTACACGGGCAGTTGTGGCTTCCTGGAGCAGAGAAGTAGGAGAAAACACAGATAGGCTGTGCTGGGGCATCAGCAGGATAATCAAACAGTGAGGCAAATCCTTAGACACCAGATTCCCTCTGTTGAAACAATGCATTTTGGGAAGCCATGGATGCGAAGGGAGGTAGTGGGACATCAAGCACAATCTCTGATGGGTGCAGGGCTCCTTATGGGGTGACTGCAACCAGCGGAATTTAAAGCAATCCCTGGTTGCCTTAAGCTGCCCTGGGGATCCTTTTGCCTTGTGTTCAGGCCACAATTTGAGAACAGAAAAGAAGTTTGGAGCTGCTGTCCTTCTTGCCTTCCTCCGCTATGTCCAGTGTGTTCCTGGAGTAGAGAACCTGGCCACTGAGGTTTTTCTTACACATTCAAATTAATCATTCGTTTCTTATCTAAGGGAAATGTTTCCTTCTCTTGGGCACTTCCATAGGAAATCTTGCCAATCCTACACCAAAAGATTGGAGTATTGTAAGAGATGGATGGGAATATTATAAAGAGATAGATGGGAATATTCTAAGAGATGACAGACGAATCCAATAATCCTCAGTTTCTTTATTACGATCCCTACCTGGCAAAAGCACTCCCATTGCTTTGCATCAGCAGGGTGACACACAAGTGCCAGTTGCACTGCAGAACTGCAGCCTACAGGATTAGGCACAGAAAGGCACAGTGCTGTTCAGCTGCTGCCTCTGAGATAACACGCATGGCTCCTGAAAGGAGGATGGGGGGAAATCCTTCCAGGGCCCAAAGGAGCCCCATCAAGAAACAAAAAAAACCCTGGCACCTGCTTGCTTCTATCCATTCCCAGGCTTTTAAGATAAAAAAGTCAAATGGAAAAAATGAGGCAATCTCAGAGCGAATAGATGCACATAAGTAAAGCGAGCAGCTGTAATCTTTCCAAAAACAAAGAAGGAGCCTGAGAAAATTATTGGTATTTCTTTACAACATCAGTGAGGGTCATTAAATTGTTAGGAGTTTTTTGAGCTGAATAAGACCCCAAGGGTTGGTGCAAAAAACATCAGACTGGTGAGGTATGTGAGCCAGCCTTGAAGAGGTATATGGTTTCATATGGCTATTTTCCTCTCATTTAAGAGTGGAATAGGCACGGGTCCTTGTTCTGCAGACAACAAAGACCCGTATTTTTTTGACTCTGAAAGCTGGAATTCCATATTAACTCTTACCTTCGTATGTTCTGTTCCGTGTTTGCTGAACAATTTTTTCCCCATCTTTCTTACTGAAACCAAACTTCAGGACTTCCTGTAAAGCTAGAGCATAAAGAAGAATAGCATCATGGAATCCTTCCACAAACATGTTCACCTAAAAAAAAAAAAAAAAGAAAAAAAAAGCAATGGCAATTGACACATGAAAAATTTTTCTTCCCTGTGGAATTGATTAACTAGAGGGGATCTCCAAAGTAACCAAAATGACTAATTTGGGGCATTATTTTCCCAACTGCTGGAACACAAAGGAATGTGTCTCAAAAAAACCCAGGGGGGAAATGGCAACTTTTGACCCGTTTTTAAAAACAGTTAACCAGTATCTGCTGTTCTGAACATTCAAATCACACTTTAATGTTGTGTCTGAATAGCTCTGCAGATAGGGCAGAAATTTGCAGACCACAGTTCCCAAGCCCAGATGCACAAATTCTGCAGCTGACCACATGAGATTCTGTAAGGTGCTGAGCACTCTCATCCCACAGCACAGAGTATCCTCCTCCCCCTGCACAGAGGACTTGCACCTCTCAGGACTGGGAAGTATGTTGTGCCACGATTTTTTTTGGAGAGCGCAACTGGCGGATTTGCTTGTTTAATGATTACCACTTCCATTTCTGGCCCTTGTTCAGCTGAGCATCTCTCCACTAGCAAATGAGCAATGGAGGAAACTACTTACCCTCCACAGTAATGTGTTCTCTGGAACTGCCAGGAGAACAGTTTCCTGTCCTTTACAGTTTTTTCAGTAAGTGACATGAAATGAATGAAATGTTGCTTTCTAATCCTAAAAGAAGTCTGCTGCCAACCAGCTCTGCCTCCCACAAGTCTATGTAGGCAACCTACAGCTTTTGATCTACATCACTGTGAGTAACAACAACAGTTAAAAGCAGAGTGCTGCAGAAATATTACAGGTTTGTTCACAGGAGCCTGGTGTGCCTCAGTGATGAAGCAATAATTACTTTAGGAGCTGAGTTGAGCAGGACAGGTATTCCTCTTCTGTAAGCAGCAACTCACATCTCAGTAGTGCAATGCACCCTGGCGTGATGCACAATAATTCAGAATGAATTATCTTTTCAGCTGCAAGAAAGATGTTCCCATTCACTCACAGTTTCATTGCAATGGAAAAGCTCCTGACCTCCTAGCAAAGGTGTAATCAACAATTATACCACATTATGGGGTCTCTTACTGCCATTTCTAGTGAACAAACCATGTCTACAAATATTCTCCTGAATAGAAACACCATTTAGCTTATCTTCCACTTCAGTGTATGTTATCAGTGTAAAATGTTCCTAAATAAAGTGCTACCCTAACTCTCACACATTTAGCTGGACATTAAAAATGTTAAAAGATAAAAACATGTAGCCAGTTAAGTAAATAACTGCTCCATAGATAAAAAGTATTACATAGTTGATTGGCTAAGCCGAATTACCCAAGCCCCTGGTAATGCAATTACACGCAAGACATTCCTTCACTCTTAAACCAGTTGCCAACAGTAAGGAGAATTTCGGAATTATTTACTGATAATACAAAAGTTTACATTGCTCTGACATTTAAAATTGGACTTTTAGAAAACTCCAACCTATGTTTCATTAAGAAAATGCACCATGGAAAGAGCCCACAGCGCGAGAGAAGGGCAGAACAGCTCAGCTCAGTCTGACAGCCAAAGACTAAAAGGCAGCTGGAGTTATTTTGACCTAAGGAGAAAGCATGAAAGCAGAGGTGAAAGTCAGGCTTTTGGTGGAATAACAAGAGCTGATGGACAGAGTGCACACTAGGACAGTCTTTGCCAGCAGGGGGTTTAATTTTTCAGAATTGAAGAAAAGCCCCAAACCAAGAAACCGCAAAGCTCCACAACTGCTTTATGTGCCAGCGTTAGAGTCCAAGTGGCCTGTGGATGATCAAACATGGGCTTTCTTGATGTGACACTCATTCTCTCAGGAGAGAAATTAGTCTCTCTAGTTGCTTTACCTCCCTGCTGGCTGATTTACAGCTTGTGGCTCGCATCCATTTCAAGGAAAGCTATTTGTCACTTCCTTTGTCCATGGCAAAGACCTCTCAGTGTAACACAGCAACCTTCAAAATCCATTTTGTCAGCTAATTTGCTCAATCTGAAACCTACCCATGCTGCCAGCCTGAAAACCCTCCTGTAGACACTGCAGATTTGCCAGGTAAGCCCTGTCAAAACTCACTTGGCGGTTTGGGAGGTTACTGCCGCAGCCCCCCTGCCTTGCCTCTTGGCCAAAAGCCCTGACATTACATAGAAAAAATCACATTAGAAAATCATCAGAAGATCATCTGTGCCGCCTCTCAGTTCCTCATGCACAAAACCCAGCATTTTATCTTACATTGTGAAGGAAGATGAAACTGCTGGTAATTTATGCCATTTGAAGTCTTCTTCTAAAACAGTAATATTTACTGTTTGCAGGTGAGACGGCACATACACTCCCCAGCCAAACCACATGTTGAGCACACTGGCTACTTTTCACATTATTCCAATAACATGTTCAAGCGCCAGTTCTTGAACAGGGATACAGGATGCCATGAAGGGCATAAAGTTTTCCTGCATATCATCTTTGTAGGACTGTGTGTAGGACTGCTCTAACCTAGAAAGGAGAAAACATCAAAGACGGGAGGAGTATTACAACACAAAGTTACAGCTGCAGGTATTTTTGAAGGGATTGCTCTTTCTTTATTCCATTTTCCACCTGTCCAGAGCTCACTCAGGTTCATTTTGCAGCCCTGTTCTGTCTACAACAGATCCTCTGAGTAAAAAGCGTGCAAAATTTGTTCCATCGGATACCACTCCTGACTTATTAGAACAGTGTCCCAAGCCATATAGTCCCAGAACTTCCTTTCTGGACAATGTATCTGTTACTGATACCTCATGTATCTCATGGGCATGAAGGATTTTCTGTATTCTTCTTCTTTTTTTATTATTTTAACATAGCTTCTGTTCTACACTCAGTCCTATAAAAAAATGATGATACAGCCACCTATCAGAAATGATGAAACAGACTGACACCAAATTTTCCTCAACAATTTTTACACTTTTTGGCCTGTGTTTATTTGAACTTTAGAATACCTGACAGTAAGAATAAATAATACTTACAAAAAAACCCCTTCCTTCCTTTGCTGCAGAAAAAGGGTTTAAAAGGACTAGAAGAAGTATGTGTCAAATAGGGACCAGAGTAAATGTGAAGATGTCTTCACAGGTTGCTTGAAGGTCTCCATAGCAATTAATAATGTGTGGTTCAACATTAGACAGCCATCAGGACAAAACTAAACAGATTATAAAAGCTATTAAAGATCCACTAATCTTGTAGGTAATTAACAGTTATTTTAGTTGAGCTCTAATAAAAAGCAGAATTTTTTTATTACAGTATTTTTCATTTTGATTTATGCTGGTTTTTTAATTACAGGTGTGAGCTGAGCTCCAAATGCTGTGATCATAATTTGCACGTCAGGTCTACTAAAATGCTGCTGTCCCTGACCCGTACTGCACAGCAAAGCCACTCCCCGACGTGTGTCATTGGCAATGTGAATGGCAGCACAGAAGCTGCCAGGTTTGCTGAACATCTTTGGAGGCTGCAATACAAATACGTGGAAACCCCCCTGCTGAGATATCTTCCGTATTACTTCCCATCCCATTCAAGCTACCATATAATTAAAAAGCAGGTAAGCTGACTGCATAGCTGGATGAGATAAGCATACATTTGTGCCTTTTATTTTCTACCTTTCTACCCTAATTAAGCATCTTCCATCAGAAAAAAAACCCTCTCCATGGAAATCACGTGGATAAATTTTACACAGTTCAAAGTTATAGTTCCCCAAGCAGCTATAGTATGACCACACTATTCATATATACCAAGGTGTTAACAGCATACACAGCAATGCAAAATACTACCGACGTGGCAGACGGCCAAGCTACAGCTATGCAGGACCCATAATTTTTCATATCCTGCCCACTGACTATTAAGTAAGCTTATTCTCTTCCATCTGGAACTGCCCAGCTCTGAATCACAGCAATTGCAGCAATTCATACCACTGCAGTGCTAGGTGGGCAGGATCATCGCTACTTTTCCTCTACTGCAAAAGCAAACAGCTAACATTCCCCAAACTGGCTGTCTGCATCTACTTCCCAATACATCTGCAGTGATCTTCACAGCGTCAAACTATAGTCTCAGCCAAAACCAGTGAGGACTCTGGGGGATTGCTTAGGGCATACTCAGACCAGACTTTTTGCAAAAATCTTACCAATTTACATACTTGACACGATGCTCAGGTGAGCTAATGCCTACTCAAAGTCCACTGATATTTCACCTTCTTTTGGATTAGTCCGCAATGATGAAACTAAGCAATCAAGTACAGAAGTTTGATGCTACAATCACATGAAGCTCATCTAACCTCAGGATTATGAATACTGTAAATGAACCCTCATGAATTTTAGCAATACTGTGTTAGACTATAAAATTATAGCATGACACAGTAAAAATATGGCAACGAAGTTCAAATATAGCAACTATATTTCAAGTATATATACACTATGATGTACTTCAAGCCAATCTCATGCCAAGTTGGTTCATCTCCTTCATAACTATGGACTTCTGCAGCATGGCAACACATCTTACAGTTTAGGTAGATGTCTTCCTACTATCGCATTCTGTTTGAATCAAATCTCACCTATGGATAACAGCTACTCCCATGCATCTGGACTGGGATTTCAAGGACTCCAAAGCATAACAAAGGCAAAGCCACAAGATTTGCCCATAGCCATAAACAGTATGTCTTGGGGTGCCTACAGACACGGATACATGACCCAACCTTTTCCCACAGAGATCACATCACTGTGAAACCAGCCCAGCAACTGGAAAGGAGGATAAAGCTATAAAACAGTTAACCAAAGCTGTAGGTATAGATGCCTAATACTAAAAATACAGCCTGTTCGCCCGGGCAACCAGACTGCTTCCCTAAAGGAGTTGGACCTTACTGGTTCATAGAGAAAAATAATAGAAACATATGCCTTCTCCAGAGAAGACCATTTCCTCAGTATTTAATTCACAACTGAAGAAGAACACATGGAGTTATGCCAAATTCTGGGCCATGCAG